TGTACTTTTTGTTAGAAATGGGGTCTCACTGTGTTGTGCAGGTTAGTCTTGAACTCCTGGGCTCAAGCAATTCTTACCCTCCTTGGCCTCCTAAAGTGCTGGGATGATAGACGTGTGCCACTGTGCCTGGCTGAGAAACAGTTTTAATCTACTGACAAACACTGGTGAAGCCCTTCTCCCTGTCTGACTTTCCAGGGGCTGAGTTATCAGAAAGTTGTTTGCAGAGCAGGGCAGGCCAAGGGGTGTCAGGCTGGCCCCATCCCAGGCTGGGTGCTGCTCCTCCTGGGCAGCGTCCATCTTTAGCTCTGAGCAGTCAGGGCTGGTCAGGAACTCAGCATCTCAGACAGGCTGTGTGGCCCTCGCTGCCCCAGGGGTGAGACTGGCGCCTTCCTCCACCACCCTGCCCCTCACTGCCACCTGAGAACACTTGGATGCGTGTTCTGTGTTCATGGTCACATCCTCTGGGGGCTTTTGTTACACCTCTCAGGTGACGCATTCCGTGACTCACCAGTTAGATGACTCCCTTCTGTCCTTGTCTGCTGAAACACCACCTGGGACTGGCTGTCCGTGCCCGTTGGCCCTGGTGGCCTCCCTGTGGCTGTGGTTACCCTGCATTCTTGCTGAGTTTTGGGAGGCACTCAGGTCCCCCCACTTACCTTTGGAGCCAACTCATGGCTGCTTCTGTGAGCACAAGCTGGTGTCCCCCTTCGTGGTGGAGACTGAGGCTCAGAAAAGTTCGCTCTCCAAAAAGGTGCCCTGCCATCGGCCGCTGTGGGCAGGCTGGGCTCTGGGCCCATCCTGGCTGGTGCATCTGTGCTCCAAGCAGACACCGGGGCTCTGGTTGGGTCTCCTGGCCTAGGTGTTTCGTAGGCTCCTGTGTGCCGGGAGCCTAGAGTGAGTGGGTCAGGCAATGTCCCCTGCCGAGGTTTCCTTCAAGGCTCCTTGGGAGCCAGAGGCGTGGCAGGTCCGCCCATGGCCTCAGGGTTCATTGTGCAGGAGGAGTTGAGGCCATCTGGGCCTGGGCCCCATTGCTTTGAGATGTATGAGACAAATATACCCTTCCCTCTACAAACGAGGGGTCACGCCCCAGGCTGGACCACAGATGGGGAAACTGAGGCTCAGTGAGGTGGCTGGCCTCTTGGCACCGTATCATCTGAGATCACCTTGCAGAGCAGTGGGCAGGGGGACTCTGGCAGTGTCGATCCCACCCCACTTCTGAGGAGGTGACCTTGTGTGGTCCTGCCCAAGGTGGGGGTGACAGGCAGGCATGGGGGCTGGAGTGGCTGACCCTGCCTGCCTGTGTCTGCCTGTGTCTCCAGGACAGTGGCTACCCGGAGACACTGGTCAACCTCATTGTCCTGTCCCAGCACCTGGGCAAACCCCCTGAGGTAAGTGGCCCCCAGGGCTCCAGGCCAACCCTAATATCCCGACCCTGGGACCCCATCCTGGGATCCAGGCCCTAATCCCTAGGCTTCTGGGAAAGCTCTGCACACAGTGTGCCCACCGCAGCCTGCCTCCCTCACAAACCCTGCGCCCCCTCAACCCATCCTCACCTGGGGCCCTGCCCAACCTGCTCCCCTGAACCCACAGTACATTCCCTACCATGTACAGAGGCCAGCTCCGTGCCAGCGCCTTGTCAGGGGCCGACCCATCCCTCCACCCCCACCCTGAAGGTTCTCTGAGATCAGCCCAGTCCCAAGGCAGGATGAGGAGCCCCCTGGGGTATTGTGGCTCTCACCCCCATCCACCCCGTGCTGCAGGTCAGAGCCACCGTGGGGTCCCCATGTTCGACTCACCTGCCTTCCTGCCTCCCCTGCAGGTGACAAACCGATACCTGTCCCAGCTGAAGGACGCCCACAGGTCCCATCCCTTCATCAAGGAGTACCAGGCCAAGGTGAGTGGCAGGGGTGGCCTGTCCCTGAGAGCCAGGCCAGAGGGCGCCTGGAGCTCAGCCTGGGCTCACATGTGCCCTCTCTCTCTCCCTCCACCCGTCTCCCCACACCCCGCCCCCACCCCGTGTCGCCATGTGTCTTGCTGAAGGAGAACGACTTTGACAGGCTGGTGCTACAGTACGCTCCCAGCGCCTGAGGCTGGCCCAGAGCTGTCAGGACCACGAAGCCAGGACAGAGGCCAGGAGCCCTGCAGCCCTCCCCGCCTGGCACACACCCCACATCCCCTCTGGGGGCAGGAGCCCGCCCCCAGCACTCCCATCTGTGAATAAATATCTCAACGCCAGCGTGTTCCCACCTGAGGATGTGCTCTGGCCACTTTGCTGGGGGGTGTGGGGGCTGACGCTTAGGGAGAGTCCCGGGGCACTGGCCCCCAGGGCTGTTCCCGGAGACCAGGGTCTGTGACGAGCAGCAGCTGTGCAGACCCCCACCCCGCCCCTCACACAGCCACAACCTGCTCCTGCCAAGCCAGAGGCAGCACAGCCCTGTCCCCACACTTCACCCTGGCCCCGAGAGGCCACTGAGCAGCCCAGGTTGGCATCGGGGGAAACTGAGGCACAGAGCGGTCATGCCACTATCATGAGGGGCACCAAGATTCAAAATGAGAACCCCTGAGTGGTCTGGAGGTAGCGGGAGCCAGGGCAGGAAGCACTCAGGCCTCAGCTCAGCAAAGCCGGAGGGGCCCTGCGGGGTCAGCATTAACCCCAGGAAACCCTCCTCCAAGGCAGAGCCCTGCTGTGGCTGGGGCCCCGGGGCCAAGCAACCAGCTGCGATGAGAGGCGGCTGCACCATAGGGAGGGAGGTGGGTGGGTGGCAGCGCGGCTGACTGGAGCCTCCCAGATGAAGTCACCATGGAGCTGTGTCTACCCGAACAACAAAAAGGAGCTGCCAGGCTAAGTTCTGGGGGGACAGGCACCCCAGCAGTGGGCATGACTGGCGCAGAGGTTCCTTGGTGGCACAGGGCTGTGAGGTCAAGGGGCGCTGAATGGGGATGCATGCCCTTTGACCTCTGAACCTGGCCTGGGCTTATCTCCCAGGGTTTCCCCAAGCCCCACCCAGGCCTATTCATTTGAAACCGGACCCTGTCTCCCGTTGCCAGGGCAGGACAGCAAGCGACCCCACCCCCAGCCTGGTAGGGGAGGGAAGTGGCAAAAGAGGACTCCCTGGGCAGGGACATTAGGAGGGGTCCAGGCCGAGCTTCCTGGAGGGAGGAGACCTTGGGGTGGGTGCGGGGGCACTGGCCTCAAGATTGACCTCCGCCCAGCCTTGGGTGCCTGGTCCCCAGCTGCCAGCAGAGCCGCCTTCCATTTCTGCCCTGCACCCACCCATTGGCAGCCTCCTGGCTGGACCCGCCAAAAAGAAATTTGAGGCTGAGCTGGGGCCAGTGGGTGGGTGGGTGGCGCCTCTCCCATGACCGATGGGCGCCATGGTGACCAGATAATGCTGGCTGAGAGGGTGGAGGGAGGTGACTGGGACTGTCCACGGCTGCCCCGCAGGCCTGGCTGGACCTGCGAGAGCACATCCCCCTTGTCCCCCTCTGCCTGCCAGGCAGGTTGTGGCGTTAGTCACATCTCTGGCCTCCAGCTGGACCTGAACTATCGGCCAGGCCAGGCCTCATGCCCCCCACACGGTAGGCCCCCAGTCCATATGGAGTCCACATTCAAGAATAAGGAGTGGGGCCATGTGCAGTGGCTCATGCCTGTAATCCCAGCACTGGGAGGCCAAGATGGGCAAATCACTTGAGGTCAGGAGTTCGAGTCCAGCCTGGCCAACATGGCGAAACCCTGTCTCTACTGAAAATACAAAAATTAGCTGGGTGTGGTAGCAGGCGCCTGTAATCCCAGCTACTCGGGAGACTGAGGCAGGAGAATCGCTTGACCCCGGGAGGTGAAGGTTGCAGTGAGCTGAGATTGCACCACCGCATTCCAGTCCAGACAACGGAGCGAGACTCCAACTCAGAAAAAAAAGAATTAAGGAGGAGCTCTATGTATGTAGGGGCAGATGGTGACAAGTGTCAAGCAGACATGAGGGGTGTGTGGGACTTCAGATTCGGTGGCAGCCTAAGCAGGCGACAGAACAGCCATGCTGGTACCTAGGGGAACAGCATTTCTGGGGGTGGGGGGGGAACAGCTAGTGCAAAGGTCCTGAGGCAGGACAGAGCTTGGCATGTTGGAAGAACAGCAAGAAAGCCCACAGATGGAGGGAAACAGGACACTGTGAGGGCGGCCAGTGAGGACTTGGGCTTTCCCTGAGCAGGATGGGAGTCACGGAGGGCTGAAAACAGGAGGAACAGGCCCAACGTTGTCACAGCCTCCTTCTTGCCTCCATGGGGAGAGGAGGAAGCCAGGATACCTGACAGAACCCCGGAGGGTAGTGGTGGTCGGGGTTGGGGGCAAGGCTGTGCAGATGCAGAGAAGTAGCCAGATGCAGGGCCACCTGGATGTGTTGTAGAGGACTGGGTGTGGGGCAAAGGGAAGGTGTGTTCACCTGTGCCCCTGAAGGTCAGGTACAGGTGTGTGGGAGACAGCACGGCTGCTGCAGGACTCATCCCTGCATCCTGCACCTTGAAGGCCAGGTGTGGGGACATCCTGGGGGCTAGGATTGCGGGGTGAGTGCAGCAGTGCCTGGGGAGGTGGCGGTCCTAACAGAGGTGACCCATATCTTCCTTGATGGCCTTCAGGGGCTTTGGGCACAGGGCCTTGTCAATGAACGGTGCATTGGAAAGTCACTTATGGTGGTCCCAATGATGTCATAGTCAATCCAGATTGGGAGTCTCTCCCGCATTGGCACCCACTCCTGCAGCCTCTCTGCAACTCCTGTATTAACCTGATGTTGGGGAGGCCCCTGGGGTTCCCCAGGGTCACAGAGCAGCAAGTGACCCTCAGAGAACCCCCTAATCTCAGCAACCCCCATTACACCTTTGTCTCAGTAGCCGGCTCTGCAGACCTCCAGAAGAAGATGCCTGGGAAGTGCCCAGGGTCCCCGCGTCCAGGCTGGAACCCCATTGTCAAGCTCCTGGTGTAGGGCAGAGGGCTGCGTCTCCACTAGGTGCGCTTCCCAACGCCCTGGCGTGGGCCGTTTTCTTTTGAAGAATGAGAATGTTTCATTGAGGCTACGCCTCCTGAATGCAGGAAGGCCACGGGATGGTCCCAAGACTGTGCCAAGGCGTGCCAGGCCTCGGGTCCTTGAGGAGCAGCGAGGGCTCTGAGAACGGTGAGGTCCGAGCGGGCCGCGGCGATGGAGCGGGAGCGGCGTGGCGTGCTGGAGGGCCGGGAGGAGCAGGAGTCGCCGGCCGAGGGGACTGCCTGCTAGTGTCCCCCGTGCCCTCCGTCACGGGCACGGCGTGGTGGGGTGGGGGAGCCGGGGTCGCGTGGGGCAGGCATGGGGGCGCGACACGGCGGTGTGCGGAGTCTCTCGGGGTCCAGGTCAAACGGGCCCCCAGCCAGCTCCGGCCCCCGCCTCCCCGTGCCTCGGTTTTTCTGCTGGGAAACGGGCAGGGGCGCGGGCCCGCCTTCAGGGCGCCCCACGTCCCGGCTGGCCGCCCCCCAGCCGCGCCCCCAGCGGGGCGGAGCTTGCGCCGGTCCCGCCCCTCCGCCCTCCGCTCTCCCGCCCGCGCGCCCCCGGCCCAGCTGCGGCGCGTGACGCGGGGCGCGCGGCTCCGGCGGCTACCGCGGGCGGGCGCAGGCGAGGGGGACGGCGGGCGAGCGGGCGGCATGGCGGCGGCGGAGCCCGTGGCGGGGCCGACGGGGCCCGAGCCCATGCCAAGCTACGCGCAGCTAGTGCGGCGCGGCTGGGGCAGCGCGCTGGCGGCGGCGCGGGGCTGCACGGACTGCGGCTGGGGGCTGGCGCGTCGCGGCCTGGCTGAGCACGCGCACCTGGCGCCGCCCGAGCTGCTGCTGCTGGCGCTCGGCGCTCTGGGCTGGACCGCGCTGCGCTCCGCGGCCACCGCGCGCCTCTTTCGGGTCAGTGTGGCGGGGGTCCGGGACGAGGGGACCCCGTACTGGGGGAAGCCGGGACCGGGGACCTCGGGCCGCCGGCGCGTTCCTTTCTTCCATTGCTGGCTGCTGCGGATGAAGGGGTCGCCGAAACGTGGGTGGGGGCCTCGGGCTGGAGAGGCCCAGGACGTTGAAGCTCCGGGACAGGGTCTCTCGGGCCGCCTCGCGCCCCCTTCAGTCAGTGCGGCGTGGGGGAACCGGGTGGATGCGGGGGTGTGGCCGGGCTGGGGTGAGTCTGGGACATGGGGGGCCCGAGACAGGTGGGATGTTTGAGACGTGAGGGACCGAGGCACGGCCCTTTCCGGTCAGTTTGGGACCAGGGGGCCCCGCGCAGTGGATGGCTCCGGCCACCAAGCGCTCTTTCCGGCAGGGCCGAGCCAGACACTGAGAAGACCAGGACCGGGAAAGGGAGGGCTCGGCGCACCGCGGCCTGCGCCATGCGCGTCCCTGCCATGCGGGCTGCGCCCTGGCCCTGAGCGAGGTCCGCTGCCCGTTTTTTGCGGGGTCCGTGCGGCGGCGGGGCCGGCTTGGCCGCTGCAATCGGGAAGAGGCAGGAGCTGCCCGGTCGCTGCCTTGTGCCTGTCTGAGGTCAGCGCCACCCTCCGACCAGGGATGGCAAAGGCCTGGGCGATCTGGCCACTCCAGTGGTCGCTCCCTTGGAGCCCAGGGCTTCAGGGTTGGACTATGCTGCCTCCAAGAGGCGACAGCAGAATTCCCCAGTTTCTCCTGAGACCATCACCCCTGCTGGGGAGTGACCATGGTGGTGACATTGGCGCCTGATCCCTCTCCCTTCCCTGGGGAGGGGTCGCTGTGGCAGGAGCTGGTTGGAAGGTGTCTGGGCCTTTAGCTTGGCCTGGACACCCCCGTGGACCAGCTGGTGTCACCCCGCCCGTCTGGCTGGAGGGTTCAGGGACAGTGTGCCCAGCGCCAACAAAGGGGCCTTTCTCTGCTGGCCGGGAAGAGGCTGGCCCTTGTGAGGTCGAGGATGGGCTGTTGTCTGACTGCCACTCTCCCCACTCCCTTCCCCATATCACCCACATGGGGGAGAGACCCCAGCCACCCCCTTGCTGTGGAAGGGGGAGACAGGGCTGTCCAGGGCCCCTTCCTGGGTCCGCAGTGGTCTTTATCCTGCTTGTTGCTCCTGCCTTCTTCCCCATTTCCAGCTGGGAAACCCGAGGCCCAAGAGGGCATGCGGCCCCCCACCCCCATGGGACAGGAGGATGTGGCCGCTGGTAGACTACCAGGGCGGAGGCCGGGGGCCCTCCCTAGCTTGGGTGGGGTGCTCGCCCCATTTCGAGGTTCGCCCTTCCTCAAGAATGGGTGGAGGGGCTGCCGGGTGCTCCAAAGCTCATCTTCTTGGCAGCAGCCTGGTTGCCAGGGGTTACCGGAGCGGGCTCCAGCTGTCTCCATGACAACTGCTGGGTGCTCTGGGCTCCGGCCCCCTCAGCCTCTGGGAAGGGGGCGGGACTTGTCCAGGGGCGGGGCTTGGCCGGGCAGCTCTGGAGCCCCGCCCCCAGGGAGCTTGACCCCCCCCTACCCACCGGACTCCCTAACCCCTGCCTTGGAGCCAGCAGCTTCCTCTGCACTCCCTTTGCCCCCTCAGGGTCATAGCTCGCCTGTGACACCTTTTCCGCGTCCTGTCCCCTCTTTCTTCCTCCAGCCCCTCCTCCCCTTTCATCGTCCCCAAGTTCCCATGTCCCCACCACACCTTCCCCCAAGTCTCTCCCAGCCCTCTAGACTCCGGTCTCTCCAAATTCCCCCACTGAGGGGGCGACTTCCTCACAAGTTCTTCCTCTCCCCTCTGTGTCGGTCCCATGGGGCTCCCTGTGTTTCCCAAGATGCCCCCATATAACCCTTCCATGTTCCCTTCATGGGTCACCCCCACCAGCCCGACTCCCTTGGACTGACGCATCCATCTGTCTCCCTCACCGTAAGCCCAAGTGTCCCCCTCCCGGCCCTCAGAGCCCTCCTGCTCCCCTCCTCTCCCCTCGGAGCCTCCTCCCTCACTCCCCTCCCAGCACCGCCCCAGCCGGACAGCTGGGCACTAAGTTTAGCCTTGGCAGGTGCCTGTGGGCTCTGTTTATGCTCCAGGTGGCTGTGGGCATGGGGGACGGGCCTTCCCAGTGCTGCCCAGCCTGGGGAGTCCCTGGGCCTCAGTTTCCCCACCCTGGAGGAGTTGTCTCTGGCCCCCAGCACCAATGGCTGCCCGCCCGTCTTCTCCCCCATAGCCCCTGGCGAAGCGGTGCCGCCTCCAGCCCAGAGATGCCGCCAAGATGCCCGAGAGTGCTTGGAAGTTTCTCTTCTACCTGGGCAGCTGGAGCTACAGTGCCTACCTGCTGTTTGGCACCGACTACCCCTTCTTCCACGACCCACCATCTGTCTTCTACGGTAGGGGCCCTGAGGGGATGGCCGGGAGGGCTCTGCTTAAAACACAAAGACACGAGGCAGTGACAGGTGCGTGTGGTTCCAGCTACTCATGAGGCAGAAGCAGGAGGATCGCTGGAGCCCAGGAGTTGGAGGCCAAGGGAAGCTATGAGCACGCCACTGCACTCCAGCATGGGAGACAGAGTGAGGACCTGTCTCTTATCAAAAGAGAAAAAGAGGGCCGGGCGTAGTGGCTCACGCCTGTAATCCTAGCACTTTGGGAGGCCAAAGTGGGTGGATTACGAGGTCAGGAGATCGAGACCATCCTGACTGACACAGTGAAATTCCATCTCTACTAAAAATACAAAAAAAATTATCCGGGTGTGGTGGTGGGCGACTATAATCCCAGCTACTTGGGAGACTGAGGCAGGAGAATCACTTGAACCCGGGAGGCGGAGGTTGCAATGAGCTGAGATCTTGCCACTGCACTCCAGCCTGGGTGACATTTCCAAAAAACAAAAAAAGATGATGAGAATGAGAAGTGGGCTGGGCTCACTGGCTCACACCTGTAATCCCAACACTTTGAGAGGCAGAGGTAGGAGGATTACTTGAGCACAGGAGTTCAAGAGCAGCTGGGGCAACATGGTGAGACCTCCATCTCTACAAAAAATTAGCCTGGCGTGGTAGGACACGTCTGTAGTACCAGCTACTTGGGAGGCTGAGGTGGGAGAATTGCTTGAACCCAGTAGGTGGAGGTTGCAGTGAGCTGAGATCATGCCACTGCACTCCAGCCGGGGCAACAGAGCGAGACCCTTTCTGGGGAAAAAAAAAAAAAAGATGACAAGAAGTGGCTGTGTCCAATTGATTGGAATGGATGTGGCCTGAGTTCTGGGTGGGCTGGGCAGGGAGGTGACTGCGGCATGCTTTCTGTGACCTGTCCTGGCAGAGAATGCAGGGCAGGGTCGGCATCGCCACTGGGCAGGCTGATGGAGGAAACCCCATCTGTAATGGGGGCAGAGGGGGCTGCAGCTTCTCTGCCCTGTGAGGACCACCAGGGCTGTGGGCCAGGGACATACGGGATAGCTGTTTCCTGCCATGCGATGGCAACAGCCTAGAGGGCTCCTGGTGGCACAGAGCCCAGAGTGTACAGTGGATGTGCCACCTATGGGGCCACTTTTCCCATGCAACACCTTGATCGCCTAGAGGGGAGGTGTTAGCTGTTGCTCAGTTTTCCTTTTAGACGAATGACCCATGATTGAACTCTCCTAACTTCTTTTTTTTCTGAGACAGTCTCACTCTGTCACCCAGGCTGGAGTGCAATGGCACGGTGTCGTCTCACTGCATCCTCCACCTCCCAGGTTCAAGGGATTCTCCTACCTCAGCCTCCTGAATAGCTGGGATTACAGGTGTGCACCACCACACTTGGCTAATTTTTGCATTTTTAGTAGAGACGAGGTTTCACCACGTTGGCCAGGCTGGTCTCAAACTCCTGACCTCAGGTGATCTGCCCACCTCGGCCTCTAAAAGTGTCGGGATTATAGGCATGAGCCACCATGCCCGGCCTCTCTTAACATTTTGGGCATGGAGTTGCCTCTAGCTGCTGCTGCTTCTTTTTTTTTTATTTTATTCAAACGGTCTTATTCTTTTGCTCAGGCTGGAGTACAGTGGCGCGATCACGGCTCACTGCAGCCTTGACTTCCTGGGCTCAAGCAATCCTTCCACCTCAGCCTTCTGAGTAGCTGGGACCACAGGTGTGCACCACTACCCCCAGTGAATTTTTTTTGTATTTTTTGGTAGAGATGGGGTCTCACTAAGTTGGCCAGGCTGGTCTGGAACTCCTGGCCTCAAGCGGTCCACCCACCTCAGCTTCCCAAAGTGCTGGGATTACAGGCATGAGCCACCTCGCCCAGCCTTAGTTGCTTTTTTTTTTTTTTTTTTTTTTTGAGACGGAGTCTTGCTCTGTCGCCCAGGCTGGAGTGCAGTGACTGGATCTCGGCTCACTGCAAGCCCCGCCTCCCGGGTTCACACCATTCTCCTGCCTCAGCCTCCCGAGTAGCTGGGACTACAGGCGCCCGGCACCTCGCCCGGCTAGTTTTTTTGTATTTTTAGTAGAGACGGGGTTTCACCATGTTCGCCAGGATGGTCTCGATCTCCTGACCTCGTGATCCGCCCGTCTCGGCCTCCCAAAGTGCTGGGATTACAAGCTTGAGCCACCGCGCCCGGCCGCCTTAGTTGCTTTTTGGAAGTGATACCCACAAGTTAGCTGATTATTTCCATGTTCATTTATTGAGCGCCTACTATATGCCAGAGCTGAGACACAGCTAGGAATGGTCAGAGAAAGCCCTGTGCCCTCAAGAAGCTGGCCGTGTGGCAGGGGCGACAGACAGTGAAGTACACAGTCTGTCAACATCAGTAAGTGTGGATGAGAAAACTTGCGTGGAGAGAAGAGGCGGTGTGCTGTGTTGGGGAGGTGGGGAGGGGCAGTTTTTAGCAGGGATGAGGTGGTCCCACTGAAGGGGACTGAGTGAGGGCCTGGAGGTGCCTGGGGCAGGCAGGAGCGGCAGGGACTTGTGTTCCGGTGAATGGAGGCCATGCCTTCCGGGCCTCGGAGGCCACCGCCAGGTTTTGTTACTTACCTGTGGGCTGGGAGCAGAGGAGGGATGTCACCCCGGGTTGGGCGTCTACCCCAGGGGTCCAGGAGGGGGCTGACAGCAGGAGCTGGAGCCCGAAGGGACTCCCACCAGGATTGAGCTGAGGGGAGGGGATGGGAGCAAAGTGGCCAATTTTAGAAACGTTTAGAAGGCAGAGCTAATAGTATTTGCTGCCACCCTAGAGGTGGTGTGAAGGGAAGAGGGTGAGGATGATGCTAGGGTCTTGTGAGATGGGGGCTGACTGGGGAGACCAAGATTCTGGATTCGGGGATGGAGACAAGGCAGGGATTCCATTGAGTGACCCAACAGTAGGTGGGACACGAGTATGAAGAGGTGGGACAGGCCAGGCGCGGTGGTCACTCCTGGAATCCCAGCACTTTGAGAGGCCAAGGTGGGAGGATCACTTGAGCCCAGGAGTGCGAGACCAGCCTTGGGAATATAGTGAGACGCCATCTCTACAAAAAATAAAAAAATAAAATTAGCTGGATATGGTGGCGCGTGCCTGTGGTCCCAGCTCCTGGGGATGCTGAGGCGGGAGGATTGCTTGAAGCTGGGAGGTCGAGGCTGCAGTGAGCCAAGATTGCACTACTACATTCCAGCCAGGGTGACAAGAGTGAGGCCCTTTCTCAAAAAACAAAAGGAGGGAGAGGAGATTTGAGACCCCTGAACTAAGCCAGGATATCCCCCCTATCCTGTGGGGAGGTAAGTCTACAGGAGGGGTGGGGGGCCTCTGTTGGAAAGGTGGGCAACAGATCCCAGGTGGCAGGGGAAGCTCAGTCGGAGTTTGGAGAGTCGGATGCAAGGATCAGGGCTTTCAGGTTCACCCATTTTTTTTTTTTTTTTTTTTTTTGAGGTTGCTCTGTCAGCTGGAGTCATGGATAGCTCGCAAGGCTCGGGTACATTCTCCTCAGCCCGAGTAGCTCACGCGCCACTGCCGCTAGTTTGATTTTTAGGAGGCATGTTGCAGGATGCATTGACTGTGATCGCCGTCGGCAAGTTGGTCAGTAGCCACCGCCCAATTTTTCTTTTACTTTTTCTTTCTTTTTTTTTTTGTGATGGAGTCTGGCTCTGTCGCCCAGGCTGGAGTACAGCGGCGCCATCTCGGCTCACTGCATGCTCCGCGTCCCGGGTTCACGCCATTCTCCTGCCTCAGCCTCCTGAGTAGCTGGGACTACAGGCACCTGCCACCTCGCCCGGCTAGTTTTTTGTTTTGTTTTGTTTTGTTTTTTTGAGATGGAGTCTCGCTCTGTTGCCCAGGCTGGAGTGCAGTGGCACCATCTCAGCTCACTGCAACCTCCACCTCCTGGGTTCAAGTGATTCTCCTGCCTCAGCCTCCCGAGTAGCTGGGACTACAGGTGTGCATCACCATGTCTGGCTAATTTTTGTATTTTTAGTAGAGACGGGGTTTCACCATGTCGGCCAGGCTGGTCTTGAACTTCTGACCTCAAGTGATCCACCCACCTTGGCCTCCCAAAGTGCTGGGATTACAGGCGTGAGCCACCTCAGTTGGCCTGCATTTTTTATTGAGGTAAAATTTACATAACTTGAAATTAGGCATTTTAGCCTATCACAAAAAGACAAATACTATGTAATTCCACTTATATGAGGTTCCTAGAGTCATCCCACTCATAGAGACAGAAAGTGGGCTGGGGGCCTGCCAGGGGCTGGGGGAGGGGGATGGGGAGAGACTGTTTAATGGGGACAGAGTTTCTGTTGGGGAAGAGGAGATTGTTATGGAGATGACTGCTGGTGATGGTTGCACAACAATGTGTACTTAACAAATGGCTTAGATGATAAATTTTTGCCATATAAATCTGCCACATTTCTTTTTTTTTTGAGACGGAGTTTCTCTCTTGTTGCCCAGGCTGGAGTGCAATGGCACGATCTCGGCTCACTGCAACCTCCGCCTTCCGGGTTTAAGCGATTCTCCTGCCTCAGCCTCCCGAGTAGCTGGGATTACAGGCAAGCGCCACCATGCCCAGCTAATTTTGTATTTTTAGTAGAGATGGGGTTTCTCCACGTTGGCTGGTCTTGAACTCACGACCTCAGGTGATCTGCCCACCTCGTCCTCCCAAAGTACTGGAATTACAGGCGTGAGCCACTGTGCCCGGCCCACAATTTAAAAAAAAATTAACCATTTTATTTTAAGTATTTGTTTATTTTTCTTTGAAACAGAGTCTCGCTCTGTTGCCCAAGCTGGAGTACAATGGCACAATCTCAGCTCACTGCAACCTTCACCTCCTGGGTTCAAGTGATTCTCCTGCTTCAGCTTCCCGAGTAGCTGGGATTACAGGCATGCGCCACCACGCCCAGCTAATTTTTGTATTTTTAGTACAGACTGGGTTTTGCCATGTTGGCCAGGCTGGTCTCCAACTCCTGACCTCAGGTGATCCACCTGCCTCCGCCTCCCGGCCAAAAATTAACGATTTCAAAGCAAAGAGTTCATCAGATTTTAGTCCATTCACAGTGTTGTTCAATCACCTCCTCTGTCTAGTTCTGGAACATTATCATCCCCCACAAAAGGAAACCCCATCCCCATTAGCAGTCACTCACCAGTCCTCTACCCCAGCCCCTGGCAGCCACCAGTCTGCTTCCTGTCTCTGTAGCTTTGCCTGTTCTGGGCATTTCAGATCACTGGAGTCTCACACTGTGTGACCTTTTGTGTTTGATTTCTCTTACTCGGCATCATGTTTTTGGGATTCACCCACATTGTAGCATGGATCAGTGCTTCATTCTTTTTCATGGCTGCATAGTATTCCACTGTGTGGAGGTAACCTATCTATTCTTCATTCATCCATTGATGCACATTCGGGTTGTGTCTGCCTTTTGGTTGTGTGCTGCTGTGGACAGGGTATCTCTTTGAGTCCTTGTTTTCCATTCTCAACCCTAGTGGACTTGCTGGGTCCTAGTGACCGTTTGTGTGTACACGGCCATCATGGCTGAGCGAGGATAGTGGACAAACAGTCACGGGGGCCAGGGATCACTGGGGAGATGTGGGCAGGAGACAGCAGTGCCTGGACCGGGGTGGGGGTGGCACTGACCAAAGAGGGGACCCTGGATGGGGGTCCTAGCATAACTCGGCTGCAGAAGGGGTGAGGCTGAGATGAAAGTTGTCGCAGAGGCGGTTCATGGGGGCATCTGGAGGCAGCTGGGCTGCAGGGCAGGTCACCAAGGCAGGGGCCAGGAAGCCGCAGATGGAGGCTGGAGGGTCCGTCTTGGGGGTCTGCAGAAAGGGAGTGGCCAGAGAACAGGGAGCAACCCAGAGAGTTCCAGGTTGGTGTGGGCAGAGCACAGCATGGCTTCCCACTGTTTTTTTTTTGTTGTTGTTTGTTTGTTTTTTTGTTTTTTGAGACAGAGTCTGGCTATGTCTCCCAGGCTGGAGTGCAGTGGCAACATCTCAGCTCTCGCCACCATCTCTGCCTCCCTCCAGGCCTTAAGTGATCCTGCCACCTCAGCCTCCCGAGTAGCTGGGACTACAGGCATACAACGCCTCACCCGGCTAATTTTTATATATTTTTTTGCAGAGACAGCGTCTCGCCATGTTGTCCAGGCTGGTCTCGAACTCCTGGACTCAAGCAACTCTCCTGCCTTGGCCTCTCAAAGTGCTGGGATTACAGGCATGAGCCACCGTGCCTGTCCAGAGCATAGCCCTTGACTTTAGTGTCTGGCAGTCCTGGGGATGTGGCTGAGGAGAGGAGGAGGGGGACATGGTGGGGTGGGCTGGGATGTCCCCCATCACCTGAGTGTGGGGGTCAGGTGCACCAGGAAGGAGGAGGAGGGGAAGGTGAGGCAGGACCTGCTTGGTGGGAGACCCCGCGCTTGGCGGCATGGTGCGCCCGGGCACGGCAAGACTCCGTGGGCAGCCGCCTCTGTCAGGGCCGGGCATTTGCAGGGAGTGGGCCCAGATCACCCACAAGGCAGGGGCCTGTTAAGGTAAAGATGGGAAGGGGGCCGGGCGCGGTGGCTCATGCCTGTAATCCCAGCACTTTGGGAGGCCGAGGCGGGCAGATCACCTGAGGCCAGGAGTTGAAGACCAGCTTGGCCAACATGGTGAAACCCTGTCTCTACAAAAAAAAAAAAAAAAATTAGCCAGGCATGGTAGTGGGTGCCTATCATCCCAGATACTCTGGAGGCAGGAGAATCACTTGAACCCGGGATATGGAGGTTGGAGTGAGCCGAGACCCCACCACTGCACTCCAGCCTGGGCTATAGAGCAAGACTCCACCTCAAAAAAAAAAAAAAAAAAAAAAAAAGAGGAAAACAGGAAGGGGTGCTGGGCTGGGCGAGGTGGTGGGTGCCTATAATCCCATCACTTTGGGAGGTCAAGGCAGGAGAATTGCTTAAGCCCAGAAGTTCAAGACCAGCCTGGGAAACATGGCAAGATTCTGTCTGTACAAAAATTACAAAAGAAATAAATTATCCAGGCATGGTGATGGCTGCCTATGGTCCGAGCTACTACTCAGGAGGCTGAGGTGGGAGGATCACTTGAGTCCAGGCGGTCGAGGCTGCAGTGAGCTATGATCACACCACTGTACTCCAGCCTGGGTGACAGAGCAAGACCATCTATTTAAAAGTATATATAAAATTTGGCCGGGCGCGGTGGCTCAAGCCTGTAATCCCAGCACTTTGGGAGGCCGAGACGGGCGGATCACGAGGTCAGGAGATCGAGACCATCCTGGCAAACACGGTGAAACCCCGTCTCTACTAAAATACAAAAAAAAATTAGCCGGGCGAGGTGGCGGGCGCCTGTAGTCCCAGCTACTCGGGAGGCTGAGGCAGGAGAATGGCGTGAACCTGGGAGGCGGGGCTTGCAGTGAGCTGAGATCCGGCCACTGCACTCCAGCCTGGGCAACAGAGCCAGACTCTGTCTCAAAAAAAAAAAAAAAATATATATATATATATATATAAAATTTAAAATGTATATAATGATAATAATGTGTCTATAATAGTTAAGCATTTGTAGCAAATATGCTACTTAAAGCCAGAGAAATGGAAATCTGTGGGTATGCTGGGGCAGAAGAGAGAAAGGAACTTTCTGTCCTATCTGCACAATTTTTCTAGAAACACAAAACTCTTCCTAAAATAAAAATCCCTCCAGGCTGGGCACAGTGGCTCACGCCTGTAATCCCAGCACTTTGGGAGGCCGAGGCGGGTGGATCACCTGAGGTCAGCAGTTCGGGTTCAGTCTGTCCAACATGGCGAAAGCCCGTCTCTACTAAAAATACAAAAAAATTAGCTGGGCGTGGTGTCCGGTGCTTGTAATCCCAGCTACTCTGGAGGCTGAGGCAGGAGAATCACTTGAACCTGGGAGGTGGAAGTTGCAGTGAGCTGAGATAGTGCCACTGCACTCCAGCCTAGTGACAGAGCAAGACTCTGTCTCAAAAAACAACAACAAAAACAACAACAAAAAAATGGCCGTGCACGGTGGCTCACACCTGTAATCCCAGCACTTTGGGAGGCCGAGGCAGGTGAATCATGAGGTCAGGAGATCGAGACCATCCTAGCTAACACGGTGAAACCCCACCTCTAGTAAAAATACAAAAAATTAGCCAGGCTTGGTGGCATGCGCCTGTAGTCCCAGCTACTCAGGAGGCTGAGGCAGGAGAATCATTTGAATCCAGGACGTGGAGGTTGCAGGGAGCTGAGTTGAGATCGCGCAACTGCACTCCACTGCACTCCAGCCTGGATGACAGTGGGAGACTCCTTCTCAAAAAATAATAACAATAATTGGGAATGGAAAGCCAGCAGTCAGACACGCATGGTTACCCAGGTACTGGGAGGACACGTGTGGCTTGGAGGGTGTCACTGGGTCATGGTGGGATTGTCTAGAGGCTTCTCAGGCCCCTGACTGCGAGATTTGGCTCTCCCCAGACTGGACGCCGGGCATGGCGGTGCCGCGGGACATCGCAGCCGCCTACCTGCTCCAGGGAAGCTTCTATGGCCACTCCATCTACGCCACGCTGTACATGGACACCTGGCGCAAGGACTCGGTGGTCATGCTGCTCCATCACGTGGTCACTCTCATCCTCATCGTCTCCTCCTACGCCTTCCGGTAAGGACAGGATTGGGTGGCAGGGGGCCGAGGCACAGCCCACACAGTGCGGAGGCTGATGATGTTGCCGCAGGGCACAGAGGCGGCCATGGAGGGGATCACATCAGGTCGGAGTGCTCAGGGGTCCGACGAGGGCACAGGCCAGAGGGAGGAAGGCTGAGGAGGGAATGTGGGCCTGGAGATTCCTGAGGGAGATTCCGCAGGGATGGAGTGAAACAGGCCCTTAGGCCGGGCGCGGTGGCTCAAGCCTGTAATCCCAGCACTTTGGGAGGCCGAGATGGGCGGATCACGAGGTCAGGAGATCGAGACCATGCTGGCTAACACGGTGAAACCCCGTCTCTACTAAAAAATACAAAAAATTAGCCGGGCGAGGTGGCGGGCGCCTGTGGTCCCAGCTACTTGGGAGGCTGAGGCGGGAGAATGGCGTGAACCCAGGAAGCGGAGCTTGCAGTGAGCTGAGATCCGGCCACTGCACTCCAGCCTGGGCAACAGAGCGAGACTCCGTCTCAAAAAAAAAAAAAAAAAAAGAAACAGGCCCTGAGAGCCACAGCCACTCCACCCCACTCACCCACCCAGCTCCTCCGACGCTGCCCTTGACCAACCAGGTCACACACGCAGGAGTTTCTGAGCACCTACCATGCCCAAGCAATGGGGGCACGGCTGTGAACGCAACTGACGCACCCTGATGTTCCAGAGCCAACCACGGCCATCCCTGAGCCTTTCAGATGGAGTCTGTGCAAACCTCACCGTGCTGTGTGCATAAAATCCACCCCGGCTTCAAAGCCTTCATATACAAACAAGAGTGAAAGTATCTTATCCACCCTTTTATTTCTCTTTTTTTTTTTTTTTGAGACAAGGTCACACTCTGTCACCCGGGCTGGAGTGCAGTGGCGTGACCATAGCTCACTTTAGCCTGGACCTCCTGGGCTCAAGTGATCCTCCCACCTCAGCCTCCTGAAGTGCAGGGATTACAGGCGTGCGCCACCACGCCTGGCCTTGTTATCTTGACTCCATATTGAAATGACAATAATTTGGATATGTTGAATTAATTGGAATCCTTTATTAAAATTAATATTACCTGTTCTTTTCCCTCTCTTGTTAAATGTGGCTGATAGAAACTTTAAAATGAAATACACTGCTCATCTACTATTTCTATGGGACTAGCCGCCCTAACTGCGATAATGGAGTAGCCACGGCCCACAGATATAGAGCAACAAAGAGGCAGCCCTTTCAACTTTAATTAAACTTAAGTAAAACTCCAGGAGCAGGGACTCATGCTTGCAGTCCCCCAACTACTTAGGAAGCTGAGGCAGGAGGATCGCTTTAACCCAGGAGTTTGAGTTCAACCTGGGCAACATAGGGAGACCCTGTCTCTAATAAATCAATTTTTAGGCCGGGTGCGGTGGCTCATGCCTGTAATCTCAGCATTTTGGGAGGCCGAGGCGAGCGGATCACGAGGTCAGGAGATTGAGACCATCCTGGCTAACACAGTGAAACCCCGTCTCTACTAAAAATACAAAAAATTAGCCGGGCGTGGTGGCGGGCGCCTGTGGTCCCAGCTACTCGGGAGGCTGAGGCAGGAGAATGGCATGAACCCGGGAGGCAGAGCTTGCAGTGAGCCGAGATCATGCCACTGCACTCCAGCCTGGGTGACAGAGCAAGACTCCATCTCAAAAAGAAATAAATTTTTAAAACTACTTTATTTTATTTATTTATTTACCTATTTTTTTGAGAAAGGGTCTTGCTCTGTCACCCAGGCTGGAGTGCAGTGGCATGATATTAGTTCACTGCAACCTCCGGCTCCCAGGTTCAAGCAATCTTCCTGCCTCAGCCTCCCAAGCAGCTGGGATTACAGGTGTAAGACATCACACCCAGCTAATTATTGTATTTTTAGTAGAGACGGGGTTTCTTTTTTTTTTTTTTTTTTTTTTTGAGATGGAGTCTCGCTCTGCCGCCCAGGCTGGAGTGCAGTGGCCAGATCTCAGCTCACTGCAAGCTCCGCCTCCCGGGTCCACGCCATTCTCCTGCCTCAGCCTCCCGAGTAGTTGGGACTACAGGCGCCCGCCACCGCGCCCGGCTAGTTTTTTGTATTTTTTTAGTAGAGACGGGGTTTCACCGTGTTAGCCAGGATGGTCTCGATCTCCTGACCTCGTGATCCGCCCGTCTCGGCCTCCCAAAGTGCTGGGATTATAGGCTTGAGCCACCGCGCCCAGCCAAAGACGGGGTTTCACCACGTTGGCCAGGCTGGACTCGAACTCCTGACCTCAAGTGATCCACCTGCCTAGGCCTCCCAAAGTGCTGGGATTACAGGTGTGAGCCACCATGTCTGGTTAGTTTAAAAAATAATTTTTAAAAGCCCCCATTCCATTCCTCAGCTATACAAGCCACAGTTCAAGGGCTCATTGGCTACAAGTGGCTGGTGGTTCCCATGTTGGACAATACAGGTTTAGAACATTCCCATAGTTCTAGAAACTTCTATCAGACAAGGCTCTCTAGAGGGCAGAGTCGGATGATAGAACCAAAAAAGGAAGGAAGGAATAGTTCATTTGAAGGTGATAAGAATTATGGAGAAAAGGCCAGGTGCAGTGGCTCATGCCTATAATCCCAGCACTTTGGGAGGCTGAGGTGGGCAGATCACCTGAGGTCAGGAGTTCGAGACCAACCTGGCCAACATGGTGAAACCCTGTCTCTGCTAAAAATAAAAAAATTAGCTGGGCATGGTGATGGGTGCCTGTAGTCCAAGCTACTCAAGAGGCTGAGGCGGGAGAATCGCTTCAACCCGGGAGGCGGAGGTGGCAGTGAGCCGAGATCTCACCACTGCATTCCAGCCTGGGTGACAGAGCGAGGCTGTCTCTAAAAAAAAAAATTGTGGCTGCAGATGTGTTAGGTGTAGGTGCGTTGGTCTGGGGGTGACAGATGAGCAGAGACTGAAAGGAGTGAAGGGAGGTGCTGAACGTCAGGCACTGGCATGCTGGGTCCTGGGGACAGCACGTGCAAAGGACCTGTGGCAGGAATCCCGGAGCTGTCGGGAGACAGAGCAAGGAACAGGGACTTGGTGAGAGACACTTCCCCGTGTCCAGGGTGAATCCAGTCCCCTCGGGCAGCGCATCTGTCAGGTGGAGACTCTGCAGAAGGACAGGGGATGGCCTTCGGGCTTATTAAGATCCTAATGGGGCTGGGCGCGGTTAGGCTCAAGCCTGTAATCTCACACTTTGGGAGGCCGAGGCGGGTAGATCACATGAGGTCAAGACTTCAAGACCAGCCTGACCAACATGGGGAAACCTCATCTCTACTGAAAATACAAAATTAACTAGGTGTGCTGGTGCATACCTATAATTCCAGCTACTCGGGAGGCTGAGGCAGGAGAATGGCTTGAACCCGAGAGGCAGAGGTTGCAGTGAGCTGGGATTGCGCCATTGCACTCCAGCCTGGGTAACAAGAGCGAGACTCTGTCTCAAAAAAAAAAAAAAAGTTAAAAAAAAAAAAAAAAGGATCCTAATGGGCTGGGGCAGAGGCCTTTCCTGCATCGACATCCAGACCTGGAAGTCTCACTATGGTGGTGATGTCCAAAGTGAGGGACAAGCTCATAGAGGATCTGGACACAGAGTGGCCCAGGCCTGTGAGAGTTGGGGGTCACAGAGGGTCAAAGGTCACCAAGATGAGGAGGGGCCAGCAAGGAACTTCCAAGGCCAGGCACAGTGGCTCACGCCTGTAATCCCAGCACTTTGGGAGGCCAAGGTGGGAGGATCTCTTGAGCCCAGGAGTTTTAGGCCATTCTGGGCAACATAGCCAGACCCAGTCTCTACTAAAAATTAAAAAAATTAGCCGGGTGTGGTGTTGGTCTCCTGTAGTCCCAGCTCCTCCGGGGGCTGAGGTGGGAGGATCACTTGAGCCTAGGAGTTTGAGGCTGCAGTGAGCCGGATCACACCACTGCACCCCAGCCTGTGCCACAGAGCAAGACCCTGTCTCAAAAGAAAAACTTACACGGAGCCCCCTGGGCCACATGGGGACACTGAGGCAGGGAAGATGAGGGTCCGGTTGGGGGGTGCACAGCTAAGTGGGGTGCAGTGAGGAAAGGGCATCCTGGGAAGGGGAGATGGGCAGGGCAGGCGAGCCAGGAAAGGTGGCTTTGGAGAGGCCCATGGGGAGCCTGAGGTATAGCCCAGGGACTCTGTGCTGGGGGCCTTAGTGCAGAGTGGAGGTCCCCTAATGTGAGCCGCCCTCTCCTCTCTACCTGCTGCTCCCCCAGGTACCACAATGTGGGCATCCTTGTGCTCTTCCTGCACGATATCAGTGACGTGCAGCTTGAGTTCACCAAGCTCAACATTTACTTCAAGTCCCGCGGTGGCTCCTACCACCGGCTGCATGCCCTGGCAGCAGACCTGGGCTGCCTCAGCTTCGGCTTCAGCTGGTGAGTGGCAGGGAGCCCTGGGAAGGGAGGGAGGTGTGGCCTGGTGAGGTGGGTGTGGTCAGAAAGGGGGCGGGACCAGGCAGGGAAGGAGACAGGGCCCAGTGAGGTGGGTGTGGCATGGCAAGGGAGGGGCCTTGTGATTTGGGTGGGGCTGTGAAGGGGCGGGGCTATACAGGAAAGGAGTGGACAAGGGTGAGGCCAATTGGGCTAGGAGTGGGGCTGGGCAGAAAAAGGGATGAAGCCAGGTGAGATGGGTGGATCCAGGAACGGGAGGGGCCTGGTGAGGTGGGTTGGGCCAGGCATGGAAGGGGAGGAGCTAGACTAATACAGAGCAAGCCAGGGGTGGGGCCAAGCAGGGTTGGGGTAGGGCTAGGCAGAGAAAGAGGTAGCGCTTTGGTGTGGTGGGCAAGATGTGGCAGAGAAATGGGGGCACTGTGCAGGGAAGGAGGTAGGGGCTTGGTGCAGTGGGCTGGGCCTGGCAAAGAAGGGGAGGGACTGGGCAGGAAAGGAGGTGGGGCCTTGGTGAGGTGGGTGGGGCCTGGCAGGTAAGGGGAGGGATGGGGCAGGGAAGGAGGTGGGGCCTTGGCGAGGTGGGCAGGGCATGGCAGGGTAGGAGAAGGACAGAGCAGGAATAGAGACAGGTGGGCAGAGGTGGGCAAGGATGGGGAAAGGGGACAAGGATGGGTCCAGGACGGGACAGGACAGGCATTGGGTGGTCTCCCTCCACCCACGGCCTCCCGATTCCTCCCACCGCAGGTTCTGGTTCCGCCTCTACTGGTTCCCGCTCAAGGTCCTGTACGCCACTTGTCACTGCAGTCTGCGCGCGGTGCCTGACATCCCCTTCTACTTCTTCTTCAATGCGCTCCTGCTGCTGCTCACCCTCATGAACCTCTACTGGTTCCTGGTGAGTCGTCCCCAGCCCTCCTCCACAGTGGTGGTCCCGTCCTTGTCCCCATCCCTGTCCCCTCCTCAGGCAGGTTCGGAGAGGGGCACGTTAGGTGGCAGACAACCTGTGTGGAGGGCCTGGGACAGGAGCACACGGCTGTCAGCAGGGCGGTGGCGAGGGAGGCTTCCTTCTCACCAGCACCTCCCCTCCCCTCTCGCAGTACATCGTGGCGTTTGCAGCCAAGGTGTTGACAGGCCAGGTGCGCGAGCTGAAGGACCTGCGGGAGTACGACGTGGCCGAGGCCCAAAGCCTGAAGCCCAGCAAAGCCGAGTGAGTGTGGAGGGGCCCGCACCCCGCGTTCCCTCCTTTAGTGTCGCCTGTCCGAGCATGCTCATGGGCAGGCCCCCAAGACCCAGCAGCAGATGAGGCCAACGCGGATGCTGCCCCCCCAAGCCTACTCCAAAACAGAGACTGCAATAAAGACGTGGACAATGTGGCCACTACCCTGAAGGATAGGACAGTGAGGAAGGGGAGGGAGAGGCTGGGGAGGGGCAGGCAGGGTCTCAGCAGTGGGGACACTGAGGGCCAGGGCCTAGTGGCTGGTGTGGCTGCAGTGGACGAGCTGGGGCCCTGTGGCTGGTGAGGAGTAGCTGTTGGCCAGGCTGGACGACATCCTCCCACCCATGTCCCCACTGGAGCCGGTGGCAGTGGGGCTGGGGAGGAAGGAATGCCCAGGACCGCAGGGGGAGCCCAGGCTCCATCTGGGCTGAGACGTCCTGGCCTCTGAGTCTGGCAGGGGAGCCCACTGCCCAGCCAAACAGGAGCTGGGGCTGGGAGCTCGGACTCAGCCCAACCCAGGAGGGAGTCCTGGGGAAGGAGACAGCCCCAGGCCTGGGGCGGGCAGGCGGGCGCCTGGGCCAGGGATGAACGGAGGCCAAATTGGGTGACAAGCAGGGTCGGGGTGTGCAGTGTCTCATAGGCAATGTGAGGAGTGTTTGAGCAGGGGCCAGGACAGGAGGTTGTGGAAGGCTCTGGAAGGTGCCGACCAGCCAGGCCCTCTGATTTGGCCAGTGGGAGCCATCAGTGACCTGGGAACGATGGTTTCAGGGAGGCAGTGGCTCAGAGCTCCGTGACGTTTTTTGCAATGGGAGGTGCGAGATGCAGACATTTAACACATCCGGGGCTGTAGCCAGGCAGAGGAGCCTCAGACCCCCCACCCTGTTTGGAAGGGAGAACCCACCAGATTCGCCTTGGGTATAGATGAAACAGAAATAAAAGAATCAAAGATGACTCAAGACTTCAAGACTTTTGGCTCGAGCTGGTGTTGACTGAGTGGGACTGGGGCAGGGTCACATGGGATCTGGCAGATGCGGCATTAGGAGCCTCCTTTGGAGGGTGTTAGATTTACTGTCCTTTGAGCATGAGTCGAGAATTCTTTTTTTTTTTTTTTTGAGATAAAGTCTCACTCTGTCGTCCAGGCTGGAGTGTGCAGTGGCACGATCTCGGCTTGCTGCAACCACTGCCTCCCCGACCCAAGAAGTGATCCTCCTGCCTCAGCCTCCCAAGTAGCTGGGACCACAGGCACGCACCACCACGCTGTGCTAAGTTTCGTATTTTTTACAGGGTTTCGCCATGTGGCTCAGGCTGGTCTCAAACACCTGGGCTCAAGCGATCCACATGCCTTAGCTTCCCAAAGCTGCTGTGATGACAGGCATGAGCCACTGCAGCCGGCCTGAGTCGGGAATTTTCCAGAGATCAGCAAGGTCTCCCCAAGGTGTCTTCCAAAGGTGGTGATGGCTGACCTCAAGTGATCCACCCGCCTCAGCCTTCCAAAGTGTTTGGATTACAGGCGTGAGCCACTGCACCCAGCCTGTTTCTTTCTTTTTCTTTTGTTTTTTTTTTGTTGTTGTTGTTTGTTTGTTTAGAGACAGGGTTCCACGCTGTTGCCCAGGCTCCCAGGCTGGAGTGCACTGGCTCATAGTTCACTACAGCCTCAACCTCCTGGGCTCAAGTGATCCTCCCGCCTCAGCCTCCCAAGTAGCTGGAACCACAGGCACCCACATCACATCCAGTTAATTTTTAAATTTTTTTGTAGAGATGGGATCTCACTATGTTACCCAGTCTGGTCTCAAACTCCTGGCCTCAAGCAATCCGCCCGCCTCAGCCTCCCGAAGTGCTGGCAGTACAGGCATGAGCCACTTTGCCTGGTTCCAAAAATTCAACTGGGATCGGAACTCCAGAAAACCAAGACTGAGAACCACTTTTAGATAACTCGGGAGGCATGAAGCAAATCAGAGAGCAATTAATTGGCTTGATCTCTTCCTCACCCCATCTCACCCCATTACTGCTTCTTGAGCAGCCTCACCGCCGGGATCCCCTCATCTGTACTCCCTCCTCTGAATTCCCTGTCCTCCTCATGGCCCTCATGGGATCCCTGGTGATGTGAGTAGCCAGTACCCTTCTCTCCTACACTGACACCCGTACCTTCCTGTGGTCACTCCCACGTCCTTGTCACGACTCAGCCCCTCTGTCCAAAGCCCCCACTGCCCTCTCAGGGGCTGCCAGGACCAGCCATCCATTGAGAGACTCTCACCTCTCTCTGACTCTGGTGACTTGCACCAGAGCTCTGTAAATCCCATTTTCACCTCTGCTGCACCTGCCACCCCCCTGCAGTGTCTAAAAAACTGGGCTGGGCATGGCAGCTCACACCTGTAATCCCAGCACTTTGGGAGGCTGAGGCTGGAGGATGGCTTGAACCCAGGAGGTTGAGGCTGCAGTGAGCCACAACTGCACCACTGCACCCCAGCTGCGGTAACAGAGCAAGACCCTGTCTCAAAAAATAAAAATAGAAAACTGAACTTCAGCCCCAATGTCTGGCCCATGTAGGAGAATCTTCCCTCCTGAGGGTTCCTGGACACCAGCTGTCCCCATCATCATCATCTCCTGCACTGCTAATCTGGCCAACATGTCCCCAAGAAAGCAGGAGTGGCCGGGTGAGGGCGTCCACCTGCTGCTACAGTGAGCGACAGTCCCCCTCTCTCTGAGGCTAGGGATGTCCACCCAGCTTGCCTATTCAAGGACATTTCAACCCAGGAGAGAGAATGCGCTCTCTCTCTGCTCTTCTCCACCACTGGCCTCATCAGCCTGTTCCCCTCCCTTGTAACAGAATTCCTAGATCCTCCTGGGTGCTCCTCAAACCCAGCTGTACCCAGTCTTCCTCCCCCATCCCAAGGCCACTCCTATCCAGCTCCCCTGTGGCTCTCTTGGTGCTAACCCCAAAGAGTCCCCTCCCCTTCTTCTTCTTCTTTTTTTTTTTTTTTTTGAGACGGAGTCTTGCTCTGTCACCCAGGCTGGAGTACAGTGGTGAGATCTTGACTCACTGCACTATTTTTGTAGAGATGGGGTCTCACTGTGTTGCCCAGGCTGATCTCGAACTCCTAGGGTCAGGTGATCCGCCTGGCTTGGCCTCCCAGAGTGCTGGGATTACAGGTGTGAGCCACTGTGCCTGGCCCTTGAAACCCTTTCTTTACCCTACACTCCTGCTCTGCCTCTCTGGCCTCCTGGCTGGCCTCCTCTTCTGGGGCCGTTTCTCTGCCCACACTTCATCCACACCGACTCCCACATTTCTCTCCTACCCACAGAGCTCCCGAGTGCCATTCTCCATCTCCCGTGTTTGACATTTCCAGCATCTTCTAAAATATCCCAAATCAGCCCCCAGTTTCACCCCAGACTCCCTCTCTGGAACACCAGCATATCAGTGTTGACAGCAATTTGGGGCAAAACACTTGCAAGACCTCAGGGGGCCCCGTCTCCTCTGTCTCCCTCTCGTCATCTACGAAGAAACATCTAGAAAGTGCCTGCATCATCCTTCTCTCTCTCTAACCTCCCTCTGACTCTCTTTTCCCCACAGTGGTGGATAGAAGCTGAAAGGTGTCAATCAAAGTAAGGCCATCTCGGCCGGGCATGGTGGCTCACGCCCGTAAGTCTCAGCACTTTGAGAGACTGAGGCAGGAGTTTGAGACCAGCCTGGCCAACAAGGTGGAATCCCGTCTCTACTAAAAATTCAAAAATTGGCCGGGCGCGGTGGCTCAAGCCTGTAATCCCAGCACTTTGGGAGGCCGAGACGGGCGGATCACGAGGTCAGGAGATCGAGACCATCCTGGCTAACACGGTGAAACCCCGTCTCTACTAAAAAATAAAAAAAACTAGCCAGGCGAGGTGGCGGGCGCCTGTAGTCCCAGCTACTCAGGAGGCTGAGGCAGGAGAATGGCCTAAACCTAGGAGGCGGAGCTTGCAGTGAGCTGAGATCCGGCCACTGCACTCCAGCCCGGGCAACAGAGCAAGACTCCGTCTCAAAAAAAAAAAAAAAAAAAAATTCAAAAATTGGCCAGGTGCGGTGCTCATGCCTGTAATCCCAGGCACTTTGGGAGGCCGAGGTGGGTGGATCACCTGAGGTCAGGAGTTCTAGAGCAGCCTGGCCAACATGGTAAAACCCCATCTCTACTAAAAATACAAAAATTAGCCAGGCGTGGTGGCAGGCGCCTGTAATCCCAGCTACTCGGGGGGCTGAGGGAGGAGAATCGCTTGAACCCAGGAGTCAAAGGTTGCAGTGAGCCGAGATTGCGCCATCGCACTCCAGCCTGGGGGACAAGAGCGAGACTTCGTCTCAAAAAACAAAAAAAATTACCCCAGGCATGGTGGTGAATGCCTGTAGTCCAGCTACTTGGAAGGCTGAGGCAGGAGAATGGTGTGAACCTGGGAGGCGGAGGTTGCAGTGAGCCGAGATTGCACCACTACACTCCAGCCTGGGCGACAGAGCAAGACTGCATCTCAAAAAAAAAAAAAAAAAAAAAAACCAAGAAAAAAACCAGAAAAGCTATCTCCCCCAAGGTGGGTACACCCCCACCCACACCCCAAAAGGCAAATACTGACAGCTGTTTCTGAGTGGGTAAAGAACACTTTGAAGCTTGTGCAGAAAAAACAAACAAGAAACAGCAGGAAAGCTCTGATAAAAAGGCCCAGGGCGGGGGCACCCATCACCAAGGATGCTAAACTTTACCATTAGAGGAATCTATACTCTCTGTGGGAACTGAGTGGAGAAACTGACCTAAGATCTTAAAACCTTTGGCAAATACTAAAGACCATCCTGGAGAGCAGGAACGGAAAGCGTGGGGACCCTCTGGAAAACAGTGAGGGCGTGTCTTTGTTTCTCGTAAGCCTCAGAGCAAACCCCCACCTTGTACCTAAGGTGTCGATGCAGAAATGGAATCCCTGGAGTCATCCCAGAGCCAAAAGGAGAGAGTGTGTCATGGAGGTTTGTTTATGGGAAGAATCGAGAAGCCACAAGGGTGGATGAAGAAACACCACTCACGGTCTCAAGCATTGCAGGCAAAGTCAGAAGACAAGTGACAGATGGGAGGTCCAAGCAGGGCTTATCTCCTCTCAGATAAAGACCAACAGCCATGGATGGGGACAGCCAGTTGGCTGTGAAATGCATGCAGAGAAGCTGAGCTTCAGCCTAAGAGAAGAGCAAATGAAAGTGACAAAAGCCCTTTGAGAGGTGGAGGCGGGCTGACTGCTTGAGCCCAGGAGTTTGAGACCAGCCCGGGCAACATAACAACCTCACCTCTACAACACAGCGACCTCATCTCAACAAACAATAAAAATGTTACCTGGGGCCAGGCACTGTGGCTCACGCCTGTAATCCCAGCACTTTGGGAGGCCAAGGTGGGCAGATCACCTGAGGTCAGGAGTTCAAGACCAGCCTGGGTGATACAGTGAAATCCTCTCTACTAAAAATACAAAATTAGCAGGCGCCACCACACTACTCGGGAGGCTGAGGCAGGAGACTCGCTTCAACCCAGTAAGCAGAGGTTCCAGTGAGCTGAGATTGTGCCACCACACTCCAGCCTGGGCAACAGAGCAAGATTCTGTCTCAAAAAAAAAAAAAAAAAGTGGGAGTGGTGGCGTGCCCCTGTAATCCCAGCTACTCTGGAGGCTGAGGTGGGAGGATCCATTGAGCCTTGGAGGTTGAAACTACAGCCAACTATGATAGTGCTACAGCTCTAGCTGGACCACAGAGTAAGACCCTGTCTCAAAAAAAAAAAAAAAAAAAAGGGAAGTAGGGGGACAGCAGATGCCAGCCAGGGCCACCGGAGCCAAGGACGAGCCTTCGTGGGGTGGGTGGCAGAGGAGAGGAGGATTGTGCAGGGTCCCACTGTGGAGGCGGTGGAGTGGTCAGGCCCAGGCTGGTGCGTGGCTTTGGCCCTGCAGCGGCCTGGAGAGGCAGGGAGGAGGCGAAGAGGAAGGTTTAACTGGGGAGAGGGAAGCAAGGAGGAAGTGCCAGGGTGACAGGAGGGACATACATGCCTACGGGGCAGGGTGAAGGAGAGGCAGGGTGAAGGCGAGGCCCGGGCCTGGCCGGGTAAGAGGAGCTGGGGGGTGTGAAACGGCCAGGGAAGAAGCAGGAAAGAGGGCCAGGCGGCCGCGTGGGGCTCCCAGGCTAACCTACGCTGGTTCTGGCCCCCAGGAAGCCACTGAGGAACGGCCTGGTGAAGGACAAGCGCTTCTGAATCCCTCGGCCCCGCCCCCGTGGACCCGGCCCCACCCCGAATACCCCGGCCACGCCCCCGTCCTTGGCGCCCCTCCACCCCCTCCAACTCCACGCCTCTAGGGCTGTGGCCACCTCCCCTGGGCCCCGGCCCCCTCATCCTGCCTTCATTCCCTGGCCACGCCCCCCCAGGACCCCTGCCCCTCCCGGGACACCGACCCCGCCCTCAGCCCACTGGTCCCGGGCCGCGGCGGACCCTGTGCACTCTCTGGCCAACACCTGGGAGGAAGATGCTACCGCCGCGGCAAGGTCCCGGCGGCCAACACCTCCTCCTCCTCCTGGTCCTTCTGCTGCCCTCGCTATCCCCGACCCGCGCCCCAGTCCCCCCAGGCCCAGCCGCCGCCCTGCTCCAGGCTCTCGGGCTGCGCGATGCGCCCCAGGGCGCCCCCAGGCTCCGGCCGGTTCCCCCGGTCATGTGGCGCCTGTTTCGACGCCGGGACCCCCAGGAGACCAGGTCTGGCTCGCGGCGGATGTCCCCAGGGGTCACCCTGCAACCGTGCCACGTGGAGGAGCTGGGGGTCGCCGGAAACATCGTGCGCCACATCCCGGACCGCGGTGAGTGGGGCTTTCGCTGGGGGCACTGGTCCTGGAGGTCAGACCTCGCGGGGCGAGCCTCGAGAGTGGCCCGGGGATGCCCGAGCAACTCCGAAGGTCCCCAGCCGCCCTGTCCAGGCTGCTAGCAACTTCGGCCACCGCACCCCACCCTTTCCTCATCCTCTGCACGCCGGGGACACATCAGGGGGTTCCCAAGACCAGTTCCCCTGCTTGATGCTGAAGCCCTGCCCCCAGCCCACCCCCACCCCCGCCACTTGACACTATTTAATGCCTTCCTGCAGATGCCACCCCCACACCCTAGCATAGCTTCCCCAGGGGCCCAGGCTCTGGCTCATGTCTCCCACTTCGGTCACCCCTCCCTCCTATGTCCCCCACCGAGGGCAGCCCACCACTCGCCGCAGGGCGCCTTCCTTGGGACTCATGCCCTGCCCCCACTCCATCAGCCCACCCCACCGCTTCACACCCTTCCTACAGACAGTGCCTCCCGAGCCCCAGCGTTCACCTTCCTCCCTGTCCCTAACCGAGACCCCATGGGCAGGCCGGGGACGCAGCGCGAGCCAAGTCCTGTCCCTACCTCCCCAGGTGCGCCCACCCGGGCCTCGGATCCTGCCTCAGCTGTGGGGCATTGCCCTGAGTGGACAGTCGTCTTCGACCTGTCGGCTGTGGAATCTGCTGAGCGCCCGAGCCGGGCCCGCCTGGAGCTGCGTTTCGCGGCGGCGGCGGCCCCGGAGGGCGGCTGGGAGCTGAGCGTGTCGCAGGCGGGCCAGGGGACGGGCGCAGGCCCCGGGCCGGTACTGCTCCGCCAGTTGGTGCCCGCCCTGGGGCCGCCAGTGCGCGCGGAGCTGCTGGGCACCGCTTGGGCTCGCAACGCCTCATGGCCGCGCAGCCTCCGCCTGGCGCTGGCGCTGCGCCCCCGGACCCCTGCCGCCTGTGCGCGCCTGGCCGAGGCCTCGCTGCTACTGGTGACCCTCGACCCGCGCCTGTGCCACCCCCTGGCCCGGCCGCGGCGCGACGCCGAACCCGTGTTGGGCGGCGGCCCTGGGGGCGCTTGTCGCGCTCGGCGGCTGTACGTGAGCTTCCGCGAGGTGGGCTGGCACCGCTGGGTCATCGCGCCGCGTGGCTTCCTGGCCAACTACTGCCAGGGTCAGTGCGCGCTCCCCGTCACGCTGTCGGGGTCTGGGGGGCCGCCGGCGCTCAACCACGCTGTGCTGCGCGCGCTCATGCACGCAACCACCCCGGGAGCCGCCGACTTGCCTTGCTGCGTGCCCGCGCGCCTGTCGCCCATCTCCGTGCTCTTCTTTGACAACAGTGACAACGTGGTGCTGCGGCAGTATGAGGACATGGTGGTGGACGAGTGCGGCTGCCGCTAACGAGGGGCGGGCGAGGACGCGGGCCCAACAATAAACGTCGCGTGGTCTGCTCTGCTGGTCTCCTTGGACTCCTTTGCCTGGGGTTGGGGAGAGCGCCCCTCGGCCTTGGCGATCGGAAAGGCCTTTCCACTTCCAGGTCACCTATCCGAGGCCTAACCCGCCACTCCCGGGAGCCGTCCCGACAGGCCCAGGTGCTGCCCACGGGAGGGGCCCAGGGGCAGGGGTCGCCCTTCCTCAGTCCTGCAAGGCAGACCTGCCCTTTCTGGGCTTTGCCTGTCTCCCTCTGGCGTCCTTCACACCCCAACCCCTCACTCGGCCAGGGAACCCCCGCCCCCAACACCCTCCGCCCCCTGCAGTTTATCCAATCCTTGGTGTGAAGGCAAAACTGTTTAATATTTTATTGGTGACAAAAGAACTTAAATTGACCGAAAATCAAAAGTTACATTGCCTTGGTACGGTGCGCCTGGGTTTGTCAAGGCCGCTGCTACAAAGCTGGAGAACACAGCACAGGGCGAAGCAGAGGCAAAGCGGCCCAACCCAACAGCCGGGATGGGGCAGGCAGCGTCCCTAAGGCCGCCGCGGGGTCACCGCAGAAGCCTACCCGGTGCGTGGTGCATGCCTCTACGCGGCCTACCGGAAGAAGGGGAAACCGAAAGCCCTAGAGCAATGGGAATAAATAAGAGTCCCTGCCAGAAGGAAGGTGGCCTGTGCGTCCCCGTCTGTCCCATGTAGAAGCTGGAATCTGGAAGTGTTCAGCTCAGGGCAAGTGACAGCCCCAGGCCTGGGCCAGGGCAGGCTGGAGGCCTGGCCGCCAGGCGGAATGACACCCCAAGCCAGGGGTTCGAGGGGCTGAGGCAGCTCTCCTAAAATGACCCTCTGCCAACGACACCACACCCCCCAGCCCCTTCACACAGAACGCAGTAATTCCTGTAACTTGTTTCCTTACCCCCCAGAAGCAGCGATCACCCCCTCAGCAAAACTGCTGGCAGGCAGAGCTCCCAATTTGGACTTTCGGTGTGCAGCGCTCCGTGTGTCTAACCAGTACAGGGACTGTCGGTGCCTCCTGGGGACAGGGACCGGCCCTCTTGTCCTTCCACCAAATCTTCCAAAGGCCCCCGGGAAAAAGCCGTTGATCCGGGAACAGCCACCTTCTCGCCCCCTGGCCACAGGGCCAGTCCTAGCCAAGGCCCCTCGCAATGGGGCCAAAAGCACCTTCCTCACAGGTGCAGGGCCCTGCGCCGAGTCCGGGCGGGAAGCGGCTTGGCTTCTGAGTCCAGTGGAGAACGAGCAGCTTCCAGGCTCGGTGGGCGGCTACCCCAGAGGCCCGATGCCCCGCAGCAAGAAGCCACCGGTAGCTAAAACCAGCAACAAAAATCCTCCTCCAGGCCGCGGCACAGGTGTTGCTCCTCTTCTCCAGTGGCGCTGGCTTGTTCAAACTGTTTCTGGAAGCTTCTCACATCTCCCAGGTCCACCGCTAAGATTTTAGAGACAAACTTAGGAAAGTATTCTTCAGTACTCCTTTAAAAGAATCTTGAAAAAACAAACAGAAAAACCCCAAACACCCTTATTTTCTTTAAATGAAGGCCCTCGGAGAACACAGGCAGCGCGACCTCGGCGCGTCTGGTAGGCGTGGACAGATGCGCCCTCCCGGGGCTCTGCCCCGCGCGCCGCCGTCTTTGCAAGGAGCCTGCTCGGGCACAGAAATGCGAAGTTTTTTCCTGCTAAGACGTAGTCCCCTTTCAATCAAAGAGAAAAAGAAATAAAAGACAGAGGAAAGGGCTACTCTGAGATGAGGGTCTTCCTCCCTCCGCCCTGGCCGCAGCCCCGGTGGGACGGAGCGGGGCCTCCTGGTGGCGGCGGCTCCCGCGGGCCGGCCCCTCCTCCGCTCCCTCTGCTCCTCGCCGCCGCGGGCCAGCAGGGGGCGCTCGGCCTCGGCTCCGCTCCCTCGTGCGCTCTCCCTTCCTGTCGCTCACACAGTGGTGCTTCAGTTTTAGCAGTGGAAAACAGGTATCCGTTTATTTTTATTTTTTATTACCCAGAATAAGATGCTGATGGACTAAGCCACGTTGCTTAGCTCTTCCGCCGCCACCTGTCAGGAGGGAGAAGGGCAGGAGGCGGTGAGAGGCGGCGCACAGAGCCCCACAGGTACCCAGCGCACGGGACAGCAAGGGAGAGCTCGAGCTGCTCTCCCCCACTCTGATGAGGAAACAGGTCCCGCGAGCAGAGGGCTACCCGCCAGGATGGGGTAGGGTGGGGTGCCTCCACATCTCTTTCCGTGAGGAGCCCTAGAATTCTTTCAAGGGGAAAGTGGGGCTGTGACTGGGCAACACATGGAGCCACCCTGACTGGTGGTGAAGGGCACAGGCCAAGCTGGCCCTGCGGGCCTGTGACCCCACTGGGGACAGCATGCATTTCCAGATACCACCCCTCCCCAGCAGCTCCCTGGAGGCTGGGATGGGGCCAGGCCTGCTCCGGGGGGGCTTGCCTTTTAGTACTGGGACAGCCCCGTCACCCCGCCATGCTGGTATGCCCTCTCTCCCTGGTACGTGGAGTCCTGCGAGAGCGCCACGTCGATTTGTGATTTAAACTCATCACCAAGGTAACTGTCCTGAAAGACAATGTCAGGAGGTAAGCAAGCCACAGGCCAAGGGTGCTCACATCCACCCAGCCCTCAGCAGCCCAGAGAGGAGAATGGAAAATCCGTCCCCAAATTAAGACCCAGGAGATCCACTCTGATGACCCTAGCCCAGGGACAGGTAATCTGGACAGTGGACATGGGCCAGGCCAGCTCTCGGGCTCTTCAGAGGGCATGTTCCAGGTGCACAGCCCCACTCTCACTCAAGCAAGTCCTGTCCCAGGGCTGCAAGAGGGCTCTGTGCGTGGGGCGGGCTCACCTGGGACAGCTCCGGCTGGGAGAGGCCGGGCTGGCTCATCTGGGAGGGCTGGCTCATGGAGATGTAGCCCTGCGTCAGGGCGCCCTGAGAGAAGGGCTGTGACGCCACATCCTGGCTGGCTTGGCTGTTGGGGAGGTTGGTCTGGCTGGGCCCAGGAAGCCCAAAGCGGTTCTTCTGGCGTCCCCCACGGCCAGTCTTGCCTTTCGGGGTGCCTCGGCCTGAAAGACAGCAGTCCAGGGTGATCCCAAGGAGGCCAGGGCCTCGCAAACAAGCACACCCTCGAGAGCTCTCAGGAGGGCCACACCCGGCCACAGCCATGGATGCTTACCTGCAGCAGGCCCGTTGGCTTGTCCAAAATAGCCAGGCGGTGGCATGGGCGGCATGACCAGGTTGAAGGGGATGGGAATGTTCATGGCAGCCACGTGGCTGGGGCCGGCACTGATCATGCCAATCTGGTCATGGGTCTGGAAGTACATGCTGGAGGGCCGGCCTGCAAATCACAGTGGAACACAGCAGGTGTCATCTGCCTCGGTCAAACCCCGGTGATGCCCCACCCACCCCACCAGCCAGTCAGTCGGAGCTGCACATCTGTCCTGGCTCTGCCCAGGCTGAAGATGCAGATTCGCCGGACTCCATGTTGACTACAGCAGCCAGCCTGGGGCTGGGTGCTAGGGCAGGCACCTTCCCCCAGAAGAGCCTGCTGGGAATCACTGGCCTACACAGATCTGAAAATCAGGGCCGGGCATGTTGGCTCAAACCTGTAATCCCAGCGCTTTGGGAAGCCGAGGTGGGTGGACCACCTGAGATCAGGAGTTTGAGACCAGCCAGGCCAACATGGCTAAAAACACAAAAATTAGCTGGGCGTGGTGGTGGGTGCTTGTAATCCCAGCTACTTGGAAGGCCAAGGCAGGAGAATCGCTTGAATCCGGGAGGCAGAGGTTGCAGTGAGCCAAGATCGCACCACTGTACTCCAGCTTGGGCGACAGAGCAAGACTGTCTCAAAAAAAACCAAAACAAACAAACAAAAAAAACCCCCCATGCAAATTGGCCACGTGCAGTGACTCTCGCCTGTAATCCCAGCACTTTGGGAGGCTGAGCGGGAGGAATGCTTGAGGCAGGAGTTTGAGACCAGCCTGGACAACATAGCGAGACCCTGTCTCTAAACATAAAAAATAAATGAAAATCACCCTGAATTTACCAAAGGAAAAAAAAATCCTTTTTATGAAAATGTTCTATTTGTACTACATGCAGTCCCTGCCCTACCAAAAGGCAAGAAAAAGCTAACTAGATTGATCACCAGGAAACACAAATAAACTCTGGCTAAAGACAAACGCCCCAGGGGTGCTGTGGGGCTAGAGATGCCCTGGGGGCGGGGAGGACAAGGGAGCCAGGCCCCGCCCTTGAGGGGAAGGAAAGGTGGGGCACCTAAAGCTTCAGCCATGGGAACAGCCAACATCCTGGTGTAAGGACAAGGGGCCGGCCGGTCTCCTGCCGAGCAACTCACCCTGGCTGCTCCGATCATAGACGGAGCCTGGGATGATGGCCTCCCTGGCATCATACATGGCTGTGGTCATGAAGCGGGCTCCCTGCGAAGGTTTAGATAGGTGAGGAATTTGTCATCTCAACAGAAGGAACAACTTCCCATGGGCCGGTGGCCTGGGAGGCAGCAGGTATGCAGCTGTGGGGTGTTGACACTGTGCCAGGGGCTCTCCCTGGAGACAGGAGAGAGCTGTGTCTCACGGCCTCTGGGTCTCGCCTGCCCTCCTTGGCAGACCTGGGCTGATGCTGACCCTTGGGCCTCAGCTCAGGAAGCTTCATATTCCCTCACCACCAGGGAACCCCGGGCTTGAAAAGCTTCCAACTCCCGGCGTCCCAGGTCCCAGGCCCCAGGCTGCTGCATGCGGCACAGCAGCCCTGAGCCCAATTCCCAGAGGCCACCCAGGACTCAGGGGCCCTGAGCCAAAAATGCCACACATGGCTTGGGAGACAGGAAGTGGGCTGGCCCATCCTCCCCTAGGAGAGCCCTCCCTCAGCTCACAGGCACATGGGCCAAGCTGGCACATTCCCAGCAGTGTTTCAGGCCCGGGTTTCTCCTTGCTGCCCTGCTGTCCTGCGCAGACGCTCACCGGGTTGATGGTGTTGACCAGCTTGCGCGGCT